ATATATATATATGTGTGTGTGTGTGTGTGTGTGTGTGTGTGTGTGTGTGTATGTGTGTGTGTGTGTGTACACACACACACACACATCAGTGGCGTAGATTGAGGCTGGCAAGGGGGGATGGTTGACCGCCCGTCTCAAGTAGAGTCAATTTTGTCGGAAAATTTCAATCCTTATTGGGAAAATGTGACAACAGTGTTTTCTTGTAATGTGCTTGTTCACTTTTAGTCGATATATATCAAATATCGCTCACCCCTCTTTGTTTTCGCCCTAGTCATATCAATCTTTAGTAAATCAATAAGCTTCATCTTTCTAAGGCAGTGAGCAATAAAAATTGTTATACATCATAGACACACGTCCTGTAGCACAGAGTTCTGTTGGTTAAAACTATAATACTGTATGGTTGGTCAAGGTAATTCTAAGAGGCAAAAGGTGACTGTTCAGTGTGCAAAGTAACCTTAGACTGATTGCAGAGAAAAAAACAAATTAAAAGTATCGCCAAGACAAGATTTCAGCACATCAACTCCCATTCAAGGGGCAGCAGGTAATCCGGATACTGTTACAAGAAAAACAGCAGCAAGGGATGAGGAACAGCAGAGCAAGAAGGGGGATTTTCATCGTCGACGAGTGAAGCTTCATTCATGGGATTCGTGATCTCTGAAACAGCTGAATCATCAGAGAAAGCAAAGTGATGAAAATGCTTAATAACTGGAAGTATTCTGTCTGTTGGTGATCATACTCGGTGTTCAGGGGTAGAAGAAAAGGCATCAAAAATCACAAGTCGAGAAAAAAAAGAGGGGAAGTCCAGAATAAATTACTGAAACTTTTTGATCTAATAAGGATGGAAGAAATAAACTTTAGCTTCGATCTCCAGGAAAGTATGCTTACTGATTCGGCCGACATCCGAACAATTCTTATGAATACATTCGTGCAGAGATTGTTCAGGACGGACCAAGCCAACCTTCTGAAAAGGACATGACCGAAGGTTTCAGACTTCGTAGCACAAGAAAAATTATCTTCGCGAGTGGTTTGTTTATTCATTAAAAGAAAAGAAAATGTTCTGTTTTCGTTTCTGGTTATTCAGAATCAAAGGAGAAAATGGATTCATGAATACCTTAGAGGAACTTGGTCACAGTATCTTTAAGAAAAGACCTAAGTTTCACGACATTCCTATATGAGCTCAGAATTCCACATTGCTAATCTAACGTAAAACATGTGGGTTGATTCAGTTCGAAAAAGTTCACTAATGAATTCAGCAAAAGCAAGCCAACAGACCACGCCCATTTTGTCAGATAATCTATGCATCTTCCCCCCCGCCCTCGTAAATTTCCTATGTACACCACTGTACTATATACATACATACATGAAAGCCTACATATATATTTATCTATCTATCTATCTATCTATCCATCCATCCATCCATGCATGCATCCACCTATACATGCACACATACTCATACACATACATACACACACATATCTATCTATCTATATGTATGCACCATCATCATCAACATCTGTCAATACCATACAATTCCACAAGCTGACCTAAACAGACTGAAAATATAAACAGCAGTAACCTCGCAGAAAGAGAGATGGAATCGCCTCTCCACAGGTTCCGATTCCGTGCATTTCGTCCCCAACCCGCTTATAACTCTCCTTGGCGCATTTCTTTTCTTTCCAGTTGGCTTGGCGGCTGAATGAAAAAATCGGAATTTCCTGCAGTTGGCTGGAACTTGCATGCAATTGAAAGCAAATTCACCGTCCTGTTTTGATTTGGACGGAATCACGAAGCCAGTCGACGATAAAACAGAGCGGCCACGAATCAAAGTTTGCCTGATTTTATATCGACTGCGTTTGAAGGTCCGAACACCGAATTATCGTTGTGTGGGGCTATTATTCTTGTATCATTATTATTATTATTGCTATGACTGTTGTTATTACCTTTGTTGTTGTTTTTGTTATTATTATCACTATTATTATATTAACATTATTATTGTTATTATTATTATCATATTATCATTATTATTATCATTATCATATTATTATAATTATTAGTTATCATAATTATGATTTATTATCATTATTATTATTATGAACATTATTGCTATTATTATCATCGTTGTTATTACTATTATTATCATCATCACTATTATTATTAACACTATTATTATCGTTATTACGATTACTACTATCATAATTATTGTCATTACTATAATAATAACAGTAATAATAACAATAATGAAATAATATTAATGATCATTATAATTATTATTACCATCAGTATCATTATTATGTGTCTTTCTGAGGAATGATCTTGTTTTCTATTTCTCCATCGTTTGACAGCAGCTCCGTATCTCATGATTGATGCTGCTCTTGAGTTAATAGTTATAGGATATTACCAGCATCCATTTTCGACTTTAAATTGGGTCTGAGTGCTCGACCATTCTGAGCGTTCGACCATCCTCGTAGCTTCCCTGACCCTTCGCCTCTCCGAGTGTTTAACCTCCACATGCCTCCAAGATTCCTCAATGCTTATAACCATTTCCTTGCTCAGTACTTCATCTCGCTTCCATCGGGTATATTGACTCCTCTTCTATCACCCTTTCCTCTCTTCGTTATCAAAACAGCGCCCTTCGACAATCCGAATTCCATTCTCATACCCTCCGAAAATACCCTCACTGCATATAAATGGCTGTCTGTTCGCCCTCCATTCTCTGCAAATAGTTTGAGATCGTCCATAATTTGCAAAGGATTACTCTTCTCTCCTCCCTTTTATAACTGATGGATTATTTTCATTGTTCTTAAAACCAGCATCAGTGGAGTCATCGCCAACGCAAATAGCAATGGCGATGAACTATCTCCTTGAATATACCCCATATGCTAACTTTTCCTAATCTTTGACCATCTCTGATCTCTGGCTCTATATTCCACTGCTTCATGTTCCTTCTAACGAAGCGCTTCATTTTTATTGCCTCCGAATCATCTGCAGTGACTTTTCTGTCCAGTTGTGAGGCACCACATCGTGCGCTTTACGATAATCAACCCCTATTTATGTCAATCTCCTTTTACAATTCTTCACTGTCATTTGATTAATCAGTAATTGGTCCTTGGTGTCCCTATTCCCTTTCCTGCAACCCATTAGCTCCCGCGACAGCATGTACATTTTTTCAGCTAATACAGCTGTCAGTAGCTTCCACACCAAAGGCAAACAAGTGATCGGTCTAAAATTGGACAGTGTTTTTCCCTTTTCTATTTCCTTCGCACAAGGCATTGTCTTCCTACTTACCATCTACTTGGGTACACTATTGTCATGGAAACGTACTCTTTTATCAACTTCTTGTACTCCTTTATCAACTACCTCTTCCTCCAACGTTCTATACTACTCACCATTTTCATTGTCATGCTGGCTGGTCTCATATGTCACTCCAAAATATCATCCTTTCTTCTGCATCTGGTACTACAGTTTCTTGCCCTTCTAACTCATCAAGCAATTTTTTCTGATTTACTTCGAATAATCGATGCTGTCTGAATAGTTTTTTTTTGGTCGGTTATCGCATTTTTAAAAGTTTTGCATCCATAGCAAGCAATCTCTGTTTTAAAACGTACTCACGTACCACTTTAATTTTTTTTTTTTTAGCCCGATGTGGTAAATCATTTCGTTTTTTCTTTCGTTTCAACCGTGGTTTGTTTCTTTTCATCCAGCTGATTTGTCAACAGATGTAGAAAAAAGTACAAAAATGAATATCTTCACAATACAAGAGATGCATTTGACCAGTTTCGAATACATCTTCGACAGAATCACGTATTTCTAGCGAAGATACATTCGAAACCGGTCAAATGCATCTCTTTGATTGCGAAGATATTCATTCTTATTCTTTCCTTTCATACATTTGTCAGCACGAATACGGGTTTTCGCTGATCTTTGCGTAACTTCATTTGGTTCTCTAAGTTCCTCCTCCAATTTGGTTCTCTTTTCTCTCTGGTTTCTTTGTGTTTGTACTCAACCATATCCATCAAACAATTATTATTATTTCTATAATCATTATTATTGTTATTGATGTTATTATTTTCATTATTATAGTTGTGATCAATGTTAATTTTGTTGTTATTGTTTTTATTATAATTATTATTACTATTCTTGTTGTTGTTATTGTTGTTGTTGCTGGTGGTGTTCTTCTTCTTATTATTATCATTATTGTCATTATTATTTTTTTATTATCAGTATTACCTATATTACCATCATTATTATCACTATCATCTTTATCCTCATTACTATTATCATTATTGATATTATTGTTATCATTATCATCATCATCAATTTAATTATTATAATTATTAATGATTATTGATTATGATAATACCAATGTTATGATAATGATATCATTATTATTATTATTTTCATTGTTATTACTATCATTATCATATTATCATTATTGTTTTTATTATTATCTTTATCATCATTATTATCAGTATCATTACCATCATCATCATTATTATTTTAATTGTTATTGTCATCATCATCATTATCATCGTCACCATTATCATCATCAGCATCATCATCATCATCATCATCTTTTACAATGAAAATAATATTCAAGAACACCTGTTAGAATTTCATATTATGTAATACATACATACATAAGTACGTTACATTATAATACACACATACATAAAGTATGTATACATACATACATACATATATGTATAAACACACACACACACACACACACACACACACACACACACACACACACACACACACACACACACACACACACACGCACACGCATACACACACACATGTACATATGTTGAATTTGAAAGTACTTTTATACCCTACGAGCACATTTCGTTACCCAACAGCACATCTTAGATTCATCTGTTAATCTTGAGATTTGTATAACAATATATAACAAAATCTCCAAACAGACAAAGACAAATTACATGTTTATCTTCAGCAACCATTTCGTGAGTAAATGTTTGACGATGGAAACCACTAGAATAATTGTGATTTTTTTCACCTGAGGTTTTATTCCTTCATAACTAATCTGTGTACAATGTATCATGGTTAGTGTAAATAATAGATCACTTCATAATAGTTCACAAAAGGCACTATGATCAAAGTCCTTCAGTATAGTACAATCTGTTTAAGTTATCCCTGGTTATACCTTTTCATACTGGGTGTTTCAGGAAAGTTTCGTGACTTCAGACTTTCAGAAAAAGCGCTGTGGTTCAAGGCTTTCAGGAATAGGCTGACCTAGAATTTTCAGAATAGGATGACGTAGGACTTTCCGGGAAATATTGTGAACTGGGACCTTTCAGAAAATAGGATAGCATAGGACTTTCAGGATAATCTGGTGAACTAGGACCTTCAAGATAATAGGATAACTTGGGACTTTCAGGGAAATAAGATGACCTGGGGGTTTCAGGGAAGTAGGGCGGCCTAGGATCTTCAAGAGAGTGTGCTGACCTAGGTCTTTCAGGAAAATGGCGCCGAGGGTCATGTGGTGACCCGGGATACGCTGACCTCTCATCTCGGCCATGCTGTTCATACGCCTCATGGGACGCGGGCCTGGCGAATCCCGCGTCCGAAGCAGACCTTTGATATCCCTCTCTTGGCCCTCTCGAGCCCCCTCTCGGTGCCGGACCCTCCTCCTCATAGTCATACCCAGGAGTATACCCCGTCCTGGTATACCCATCATCCGAACTCCCTCTTGGGTATTGGTAATCCTGCCCATAATCCTGCCAGTAATCCGGCTCACTACGATGGCGTCCATCATAATCCCGAGGAGGTATGTTGGGCTTCCCATAATCCGGCAGGGGGACGTTCGGCCTTCCGTAATCCGGCAAGGGCACGCCCGGCCTTCCGTAATCCGGCAGGGGGACGTTCGGGCGCCCATAATCCGGCAGGGGAATGGGCACGGGACGAAGGGCCCTGGCTGGAAGGGAAGGGTGGATGAGACAGGGTTTCTCTCCCATACGAACACACGCGTGGATGTACGTAAATCTAGAGCATTCAGAGAAGAAAATTACGTTCTTTTAATTACCTTGATGTGTATGTTGCATTCCTGTGAACATTTTTATAAAGACGATGATATTTGATGATGAAAATTATTATCAACTATTACTATTACGGTCATTATTATTATAGTTGTTAGTATTGGTGGTTATTTTGTTGTTACTATTATCATTATATTTTATCTTTTCGACAATAATGATTGATTGGACGATAAATTTATGCATCCAGTGGACAACAAACAAATTTACAAATAAGTATAAAAGGTGCATGATAACGATAAAAGTGGTAATAATGATTATTAGAATTATTGTTTCTTTCATCATTGTAGATATCATTATTATTATTATTATTATTATTATTATTATTATTATTATTATTATTATTATTATTATTATTATTGTTATTGTCATTATCATTCTTATTGTTGTTGTTGTTGTTCTTACTGCTATTATCATTATCATTATTGTTATTATCATTATCATTATTACTATTATCATTATTATTATCATCATCATTATTATTGTTATTATTATCATTATCATTATTATCAATATTATTATTATTATCACCATCATTATCACCATCATCATCATCATCATCATAATCTTCATTACTATTATCATTATCATTATTCCTATTATTATTACTATTTTCATTATTACCATTATTATACGTATCATTAGTATCATTGCTGTTTTATCATCCATATTACAATAATTGTTATCATCATCATTATCATTATTCTTATTATGTTTATCATTATTCTTCTCATCAACATCATTATACATCCTAACAATAGTAAAATGTTTGGATTTTGATATACCCAGGAAATTTCGATTATTTTTTTGCACTGAATAAAGTTTAACACGATTTAGTGGCAATAATTGTTATAACAAGTTTACTGTTGTTAATTTGAGAAAAGCAAACTGCATGCACGTCAGACGATACAAGTGGATATTTTTAAATGTTTAATTGCCATAAATTCCTGAATTCATAATTTCGAAAGTTGCAGAGCAAATGATTGTGTAAAGATATTTTCGAACGTATATTGTGCAGCGGACTTTTCTCCTGATAGAAATACAAAACTCTTTTAGATTACATATGTTTTTTGTTTTCTTCCTGTACAGCGTAAAAAGAAAGGAAGAAAGAAAGAAAAAAAAAACTAGGCACAAATATCATTATGAATAAGTCATCCTTTGAAAAGTCGTCGTTTTCTATGCACAAGGGGATCGTCGTTTTCTATGCGGGATGCGAAACCCACAGCTACAATATTTCTCATTAGAATAAAGGAAATTATACAATAAAGATTAACAACAATAAATACTAAGGGATATGTAATTCACTGACATTCTCTTAATTTCCAACACAAATATCATGATCAGAGAGCAAGGGCCAAGGTATCCAGCAGCAAATGAATATATACAAAGAATAGTCCACAGGAGAATATTTTGACCGGTATAAATAATTTGTCGGTTATATATCAAAGAAATATGGCATAGACGAAATTGGAGCGTACAAGCATGTATATGCAGGATGTCAACATAAA